GATTTGGACTCCCTATATGTATTGATATTGCTCTGTGTAAGGACATCATTATATTGACCCCTGGAGACTGGAGACTGCTATTATCATCCTTGAACCATCCAGCAATCATAGCCACAACAGAGGCTTACTTGGAAATAAACCTCCATAAATATACTTCATGACTTTGAGAAGTCTGAAAATAGGATAACAAGCACATCAGTGATTGGCCAGAAAAATCAAGATAATTGACAGATGCAAATAGAAAATGTATTTGCCAAATCAAAACCATGTTTCCCAGGGTGGTAAAGTCACATAGGTCACAGAAAGTAAATAAAATATTCTAATGCCTGAGATATTTCTTATTGAATAAATTCTGTGTTTGCTTCTACAAAGCAACTTGGACTGTGTCTGTGGACTGTGTGTGTCCAGAATTGTACTTAAAATGTCAACTCCAAAAGGAATCTATGGAGAAAACAGTGTTCTGCTCATAACACAACTGATTGTTATGAATAAGACAATTTCATATACAGTACTAAACCAGGCAATTATGAATTTTGGGAACATATTAAATGGGATAGCTTCTGAATTGAGCCTATGGGCCAGAATCCTGTTGGATTCTGTGGCTGCATTTCTTTTTCAGGCTCACGTACCAGTAGTTATGGAAAACAGACAAAACCTGTTGGCTTTGAACAATCTAGTTCTCCAGTACTTACTTCTTTTCATTGTCACTCTGCCTGTGGCCTATTTCCACATGCCATGTGCCACTACACTAATGCAGTACACCAACAGGATCCTGGCCATGATCTCCAAGTCTTATTACATCAAGGCCTTGGTAGATCTGGGACATCATCCTAACATTTCTAAAAACTGCTCTGGCTTCTAATGGAATCTTGCAGTCTCATCTCTATGAGGATGTCACTTTTCTCATCAGCTTTTGCCATTTTAACAGGATGCTCACTTCATGCTACTGGTGTCATGCCTCAGAAACACATTGTTTGCTTTTGAATTTTCGTACGACACCAAATGCGCTAACAAACAGCCCTACTGCTGTTTTATAGTCAGTCACCTAAGAAGCTGCAAGGTGCTGACATGCCACAGATCGAGAGATACTGACAAAGAAACAAAAGGCGCTGGAATCAGAAGCTGTCTTAAAAAGAAAACAAATGCATTGCCATGAGATTTCTTTCATTGATGAGCTAATTTTTAATTCTACTGCATACTTACCACAGTAGCTAACAAATCAGTACAAATTTTGCTTTGGAGCACAGGTGTGAAAAACAGAGAAACTGGAGGAAAATAATGCCATTTATTTATGATTTATCTTTATAATTGTATAAACCTGTAGTAGTTGTGGTTCTCAGTCATCCTGTGCTTGCTTTGAGTGGTTCAGCACAGATTGGGTTTTGTCATCTAATTGCATCTCCCACTTTTTCACTGATTGGCTATTGAAAGCCAAAGCATTGTTTCAAAGATGTCAGTGGATGTTAAACGTGACAGAGCCTTGAACTTTATTTTTCAGAACAATGAATACAATGACATGCCAAAGCCACCTGTAACTGAGCAAATGGGGGATGGTGCTTTGGATGTCAGAGCATCATTCTATCATTGTCCCATTATGGACGGCTTCAGTAAGTTATTACATCCATATGCATTATTTTCATTCATAGTCATTTACCATACTCTCCTTTCTTTGTATTCAAGCCTTTTTTTGTACATAACTACACAAAAGCCTTATGCAGCTTGAATACAGACTATCTAAAAGCCCAAGGCTGCATTCGCCCTGCAGAAATAATCCAGTTTGATACAATTTTAACTGCCATGGTTCAATGCTATGGAATCCTGGGAACTGTAATTTGTTGTGGCACCAGGGGTCTCTGACAGAGGAGGCTAAATGTCTCACAAAACTACAGTTCCCAGAATTCCATAGCATTGAGCCATGGTCATTAAAGTGTTGTCAAACTGATTATTTCTGCAGTGTGTATGCAGCCCATATCTCCTCACAAAAGTCTGCCTGAGTTTTGAGATCCTAGTGTAGAGCTTTCTCTCAGTCCCATCACCATCACAGTTACAGTTGCAGAGGACACAAGAGAGAGCCTTCTTGGTGGCTGCTCCCAGGTTGTGAAACTCCCTCCCATGGAAGTCTAAGCTGACCCCGACATTTGTTACTGTGTGTCCTCAAGTTGTTTCCAACTTATGGCAACCCTAAGGACTGACAAGCAAAGACTTTTCTATTTAGAGAGGGTTTTGGGTTGTTTACTGGTTATTGTAGAAGGATTCTTTAAAAAAAAAGAAGGAGATGCTGTACTTTCCCCCAATTTGTTGTGTTTTAAATGCTTTTAAACTGCTTTAAAACCAGTGTTCTTTTTAAAATATGGTCATTTATTTATTTACTTTTCCATTTTAATTTTCTTAGTGTTAAGATAGATTTTATTCACATTATGTCTCATGTTGTAGGCTGTTTCAAGTTCTGCACTGGCAGACAGGAGAGAAATAAAACTGAATAAAATTAAATAAATAAGTCATTTCAGACTCACTAAAATAGTTGCTGCTCTGGGGATTCATGTCCTCATGTTGAGTCCCATGCATGTCCACTCAAAATGTCCAAAGTAAGCACACAGATAACTGTAATCTTCATTTCTAAGTTTCAAAAATAAGCATACAATATCTGGTATCCTGTTGGTTAGTCCCAACTAGAGTAGTCCCATTCAATCAATTGCTGAATGGTGAATCAGCACATAGGACGTTATCACATGGGGAGTT